CACAGCAGCTGCGCGCTCCCGCCTCCCCCGGGTTGCATGGAGACCACTGTACACAGTTTCTTCTTCCCCCTTCCCTTCCCTTCCCTTCCCCTTCCCCTTCCCCTTCCCTTCCCCTTCCCCTTCCCCTTCCCCTTCCCCTGTCCCAAGTCAGCGGGCCGGAGGGAGCTCGAGGGAGCTGGCCGCTCGAGGGAGCTCGAGGGAGCTGGCCGCTCGAGGGAGCTCGAGGGAGCGGGCCCATGAACAGTACGGCCCCAGGGAGGCTGGTCATAGGGAGAGTGAAATTCTTCCGCCGGCACCGCGGAGAGGTGAGGCCAGTGGGCTCTGCCCAGACTCTCGGCTCCTGGTTTCCGTAGCAGAGCTCCAACTCCAGAATGGGCTCTAGGTTCTAAGCTCTGGTGCCAGAGAGGCCTCAGACCCCTGTTCTTTGGGCTCTGGCTTCAAAGTGAACTCCTGGTTCTGGACTCCAGCTCTAGAATGGACTCCTGGCTCAGAACCTGGTTCTAGAGAAGGCGCCAGCAGCTGGCGTCCGTCAGATTCAGCTTCAGGCGCAGGTTCCCTTTACGGGGCTTCAGAGAGAGCCAGGCCCTGGCTGCAGAGTGGTGCTTGGGTCTGGGCTCTGGCTGCAGAGTGAGGCCTGAAGCCGTGGCTCCAACCCCAGGCTCCTGGGGGTGTGTTTAGGGATGGCCCAGGGCTCTGGCGTCAAGAAGGAACAGCAGGTGTTTCTTGCCCTTTGATGGGACCACTTTTGTGCTCTGTTCCAGGTCAACTTCTCCGCCTTCTCCCCGGACGGCCAGACGCTGCTCACAGCCTCTGAAGACGGCTGTGTGTACGGCTGGGAAACCCGGAGTGGGAATCTGCTGTGGAAGTTGGGTGGCCACACAGGTGGGCTCCTCGACCTGGATCGGGAGGCTAAGGCCGCAATGACCTCCAATGTCTGAGCTGGGCACCCACGCAAGACAGCCGAGGCGGGGCTGAGGCACGAGGGCAAGGAGACGGACATGTTCCCTGGGCCCTCCGACTCTGGCGGACCTGAACTCAGATCCTATTTTTTATTTTTTTTAAAGTATGTTTTTATTTGATTTCAGAGAGAAGGGAGAAGGGGAGAGAGAGAAACATCAATGATGAAACTCATTGGCTGCCTCCTGCACTGGGGATCATGCAGGCATCCCAGGCATGTGCCCCAAGGGGCAATCTAACCGTGACCTCCAGGTTCAGGGGTCATTGCTCAACACTGAGCCCCACCAGCAGGACTCAGATCCTACTTTTTAAAAAGTTTACAAATATACATATTTACTGTCTTAACCATTTTTAAGTGTAGTGTTACCTACGTTCATATGGTTGTGCAACTAGTCTCCAGAACTCATCTTGCAAAAGTGAAAATATACCCATTAAACATCTC